CGGATACTTGGGTTGGTTTTCAGTACATTGACATGCTCACCTTCTCAGGTGGTGGGACTTTTGATGTCCAAGGAGCTCTTTCTTGGAATCAAAATGATTGCCACAAAAACGGACTTTTGATGGCCAAGGAGCACTTTCTTGGAATCAAAATGACTGCCACAAAAACAAAAATTGCAAACCTATTCCCGTTAATCTGCGGTTCGAATTCCTCACAAATTCCAAAGTTCAGGACATAACTTCACTTAACAGCAAATTTTTCCACATGCATGTTTTCCGATGCAACCATACTACATTTCAACAGCTTACCATCACAGCACCTGACGACAGTAGAAACACAGATGGAATCCATATCGGGGCTTCGACTGGTATCAACATTACTCATGCAAAGATTGGAACTGGGGATGACTGTATTTCTATTGGTGATGACTCCCACGAAATCACAGTGACTGATGTTACTTGTGGGCCAGGCCATGGAATAAGCATTGGAAGCCTTGGAAAATATAAGGACGAAAAGGATGTGACCGGGATCATAGTTAAGAACTGCACCGTAACTAATACGGACAACGGTGTGAGAATCAAAACATTTCCAGATTCTCCTTCGCCTAGCACTGCCTCGGGTACACACTATGAGGATATTATCATGGTTAATGTCAGCAACCCTATCCTCATAGACCAATTGTACTGCCCATATACTCAGTGTGAACCAAAGCCTTCGTCAAAAGTTAAGATTCAATTACTGGTGTGATAAAGGCTCTTGGTTGTGCTACATCGTCCTTGGCACCTCTTCCTTTATCCAAGAAGTAGAAAGTACTAATTAATGTTCTCTATACATAAATTGCTGTGTTCTACTTTGCTTTTGTGCTACATGTTCTCTCCTTTGTCCAAGATAAATAAACACACAACACAATTTTCATCAATGCCAACAGGATTTAGAGCCCTCTTATACCATTGTTGACCTGTTTGATCCCAATTTTCATCACTGAAAACTTCCCTTGTGAATTTTGCAGTAACACCTCATGATGTTTCTCTGTCTTATATAAAAAACAATCAATAGATCTTTCTTGCCGAAATTTTGTCGAGACTATTGAAGTGGAAGGGGATGCACAATATATTATTACTGCTCTTGAGAAAGATGGGGAGGATTTGCATGTGTGGAAGGTCACCTTTTTAAAGAAGCTAAGTGCCTCACACATTCTTTCTCTATGGTGAGATGGCGATATAGCTCCATAGAATGCAATAAGGTGGCTCACTCCCTTGCTAGGCATGCCTTGTTGTTAGATCAAGAATCTTTTGGTTAGAGGAAGAGCCTCCATGACTTAATTACTTCATTGTTATTGGATAATACTCCAAGTTTATCAAATTAATGAAATCTTTCATATTTAAAAATAAAAAAATAAAAAAATAGGAGGGTGAAGCTAGAAAACAATTTTTAGAGGACCAAGAGTGTGAATAACTTAGTTTGGGGACTTCAAATTCAATTTGGGAATTAAATATTATATAGGTAATACATAATATTTAATTATAAAAAAGATGAGCCTTGGGCTCTGGAAAAATTTAATTAAGACACCCAAAAGAAAATAAGTAATTTATTTTTTCGTTTTTGCAGAGCAGAATTAAATCTGTAACATATTTAAATATTCACTAAAGAAATAATAGTTAATACATAATTACTAATTAAAGTAATTTAAAAGGGCTAAGATATTACTTAATTACATATATTAAATTAAAGAAGTTGGCTAGAAAACAAAAGTAAAGAAACTAATTATATATTTAAAAAAAAAAAAAAAAAATCTCCTGACGAAATGTCGTCGGTAGGGGAAAGTTTCG